CATCTTCCCCCTCCGCCCGCCGGGATCGTGGGCGCCGGGACGGCGTCTTGGAGTCGCAGAATGTTAGAATTTTAGAATCGGCAGTGTTGGAGGAGGCCGTCAGGATCATCCAGTCCGACCGTCAACGCAGCAGTACCACGAAACCGCATCGCCAGATGTGGATGCCTCTTCCAACCCCTCCAGGGATGGTGACTCCGCCACCTCCCTGGGTACCTGTTCCAATGCCTGACCACACGGACAATAAAAGAATTTTCCTGGTATCTAATCTGAATCTCCCATGTCTCATCTTAAGGCCATTTCCAAGACCAACCAGCTCCTCACTACAGCATCTTTTCAGGGAGTTCATTAAGAGCCCTCGAGTATCCTCCAGAGTAAACAAACCCAGCTCAGCCATTCCTTATAAAATACATTTTTTTCTAGACCCGTCTTGAGCCTTGTTGTCCTTTACAGAAAAAGAGAAGTACAGATCTGAGTCACCAACTGGGATGATGGGGGAACCCCAACACCACAATTCAGCTGGCCCCCACACCAAAAATTACCCGTGGTGCAAAATCCCCGTGGAATAACGCGGTGATGTCCACAAAGTGCCATTATTTTGGAGGTCACATCTGCATTCCCAGCAGAGAGGAAGCTCTGGGCATCTCCATCCCTGCCGGACACCGAGCTGTCATCTGGCCTTGGCCATCAGCAAAGTGTTTATAGAAAAAGAGGCATTTCTGCAAAGTAAATTAAGAACAGAAACTATTAGTGGCCTCTCAGTTCCTTGTCAAAAGCACACACGATTTATCCAGAGTCCTCTCAAGACTTTCCTTGCCACATATATTGATTGAACTGCACAAAGATTCTCTTGACATCTGAAATGAGACTCTTATTTCAGTCACCATGTTTAAAAAGGAAAAAAAGCTTTATCCCAAGACACCCATGACAAAACTGCTTTGAGGAAGTTATAGTCATCCCACACAGACACACATCCCTCCTTTAAATACAAAACCCAAACACCATGTTTTTTCCCCAGACTGCACAGCTACAACCTGTTTTAAATTACACTTCTCAGTACGCCCAAGCTGAACAGCATTTTATGGATCAGAATTTTAGCATAAAGATACAAATCAGGTAGTTTTTGCTGCAGCTTTTCTCATACAAAGCAATTAAATTTGATTATTCCTGGACTGAAGGGTGCACTGGAGCAAGGCTGATCATCCCAGCAGATATTTCTGTCCACGATGGCCTTAACGTAAAAGAGGAAAAGCCACAGACCAGCTCACCAAGCATGCCTGCAAAGGCACAACATCAAATTCATAGCTTGAAACCATGTTTCTGCCACTACAAGCTGCATTTTATACTTTAAATATTCACAGGCCAGTGTTTTCCCTAGATTCCACATTTGCTTCTTGCATTCCAAGACTTGGTCATCTCCTTTTTTTATTTTTATTCAGCAGAATCAGAGCTGGGGAAGGAGAAGCAGTTTAACGTGGAGCCTTGGAGCAGATGTTGAGCATTCCACTTGCAGGCTCACAAAGCCAGGACATCTGTTAGAAATATGTGAACAGAGAGGCCATCAGCCTCTTAGGTGCTGCAGTGATCCTCTGCCTTTCCTACATCCCCTTCCAAATTACACTGAGGTGGAAGGGAATAGTTCCATCCCTCGCCATCCCCAGTCCATGTTTTTCTGCTTCCAGGCTGGTTGCTTCCACACAGTTGGTTCAGGATCATTGACCCAAGCAGGTTTTTTTTTGTTTAGTTTTGTTTCAGGGCTTTCAGGACAAAAAGGAAGGAGGGTGAACTTTTTGTTGGTCTCTTCACAGAGCAGCAGAGATTTCTCTTAGCATCGGTCTCCCTTGCAGGAGTCTGCTACAGGCTGGTGTGACAGAACAGTTTAACACAGAACAACCAGAAACAACACATGGTGAAGCACTGACCCATAATGCAATTAGCAACCTTCCCCAGAAGCATTTTTCAATACCCCAGGGCACTCAGAATTTGCTGACTGTTTGATTTGTGCTGCCCCAAATTCCTGACGTTGCTTAAGCAAACCACAGGACCAGGAACTAAATGATCCTGTCTTCCGATCCCTTTTTTATAAGGCTACTGCCTTTGTTTTCTTAGAGAAAAAAGATTAATTCCTTTCCCACCTCTGTCTTCCTGATCAGAGGAACACCAGTTTAAATCTCAGCTCCCAAGGGAAAGGGATTTGTTAATTTGACAATACTCTATCCAAACACTAGGAGTTCAACAAACAGTTGCTCCAAGATGAGCAGATGGATTTTATTTCGTTTACAATGATTCAATTAGCAGCCACCTAAGGAATTCTGAAAATTTGCTGGGTGTGAACACTGGCTCACAGAGGTTTATTGTTCTTAATCCAGATGTGACCCTGGCAAGCAGAAATGTGCAAAAAAAAAAATCTCCCCCACACCACACCTAGTCCAGCCAAGGTGAAGGGCACTGCTCATCCAGCACTGGGCTGAAGGACAGCCTGCATCCATCACCTGAGAGAAGATAAATGCTGCTGTCACCCTGGCTCCTGAGCTCCATCCATCACTGCTCAGCCAGGTTGACTTTTGTTTGTTTGGAGTAGTTTCTGTTTAAAAAAAAAAAAAAAGTGGGTATTAAAGCTCACCTACCAAACATGGTACACCAAAGAAACGCTCTGATTTCATCCTGACAGAGCTCTGTGGGTAGGTTTGGTCTCTCCCAACAAATAAAGGCATCCCAAAAACATCTTCTACCCTACACAGCCTTCAGGGAGGTTCTGCAGCACACCTCCACACTGAGCACAGACCAAAAGCCATCACCTCCCTGCTCCCCTACCTTCTGGGCGACAACTGTGTCCAATTTCCAGAAGATTCTGCCTTGGACACCACCCAGCTAGGGAGGCAGAACTCAAAACAACTACAAATGCATTCTGGAATTGATGGAAGGAGATGTAATTTTATCATATCTTGGGAGTGATCTGGAAATAGCATTCCCCATGTCTGGGAAGCAAAGTGCTTTAATAAGAGTCCTGGAGCAGGGAGCACATCTTCCCTTCTTGAAGGGCTGTGGCAGTAAACAGCACTCATTGCTTTATCAAATATTACTGCTTGGCTTTTTGTGGGAAACAGGCCCAGACTCATTTGTCACAGGCTTGTTCCCCCTGAGTCACAAAGCTCTGACTGAAGGAGCCCTGAGTTCAGGGCTTTTTTCCTGTTTCCAGCTGCGCTCCCAGTTCCCAGTCAGTCTGTAATGTTTAACAGATCTGCTGCATCAGCTCCAGCACAGACACGGGGTTATCTCCACCCAGCCTCCCAACAAGGAGACGAGGTTTGTGGAATACCTGCAGTGTGACAGGTCCTGCACAGAGAGGTGGCTCGAGCTGGATATCAGGGTGAGGGTTTGGACAAACACTGCCCTGAAACAAAACCCAGCACTGGAGCCTCCTGTTTGGTTCACAGATTCCCTCTGCTTTGCTGTGCGTGGGCAGCTCTGTCCTGCAAAGTCTGTGGAACATCCTGTTCACGTCCATCACCTGATGTTTACGGGTCTGGTTTGCCCTTTGAATGGCCTTTAGGCAAAATTGGTTGGACTGCACAGTGAAATCGTGTCATTTTAGGAATTTGAACAGCTACACAGTCCGTGACAAACAATAATTAGTGCTCGGTTCCTCTTTGTCCTACCGGCTGGGTCTCAGCATGATTTGCCATTTGCCTCACTAAGCTGCACCTCCTCTCCAGAGAGCACACAGGCACCATGCCCTGTGCAGGCATTCAGTGAGCACAGCAAGGGCTTGTCTTGGTCACTGGAGAGACACTTTGCAGATGAAAGCAGAACTCAGTGTACGAGAGCAGCTCCTGTGCTTTGCCTGCACAGCTGCAAGGTGCAAAGAAAGATTTGGTACCAGCCTCGGCCCTTACGCTAAGCAGGAGCTGGGAGAGGTGCAGGGAAGCAGCAAAAGGCAACCAGCAAAGAGTACCCTGTGTCCTCCCCAGTTTGGTGCCAAGCACGAGCAGCCCTGGATCAGCAAGAGCAGATTAATGCCCATGCTGGGAGTGGGACCCTCACCCAACTGCTACACCAAAAAAAGGCTGAGCCTTACCCAGGTCTCTTCAGCCTACCCCACTTATTGACACCATTACCAGCATCTCCTTCACAGAGAAGCTTTCTACCAGAACCTCTCCTCTAACTCCCTGTATTATTTCCTGCCTGATTTCAGCAAGCTCTGGAAGAGGCTCTGCTCTCAGACCCCTGCACTGTCTTTGACCTCATCAAACAAGTCAATTACCCAAGTTCAAGAGCAGGATACTTAAAAATTTTACTCACCAGGGAAGTCTCACCAGAGAAGAGGTGTGAGGACTGTGAGGCTTCCCAGAGGCTTTTATTCTCTCATTAAGTTCTCCTTAATGAGGATTTCCTCACCTGCTGCAGTGTCCCTCCCATTCATTTGCATTCACTAGCCTGCTGCTGGTACTTTCAAGGCTGTCTTATCTCCCATTCCTTCCTCTTTCCTTGTAACTATTCTGATCCCAGTTTTTACCTCCCTGCTGCCATCCAGGTCCCAGGGAGAAAATGCTTTCTCCTCTTTTGTTACCGCTTGCCACGTCCTCCTTGGCTGGTTTCCTCCCTGACATCTCTGCAGCTTCTCCCAGCTAGAGTCACCTGCAACAGTCTCTCCTCCAAAGCAAGGCAGCAACAGCTACTCCTGGTGAGATCTCTGACTTAAATGCTTGCTAAAAGCTTGCTTGTTCTCTCAGCACAGCCTGGACCACACACACCTCAGTGCCTGGACCCTGAACACCCCGGTGGCTCTGCCCATCCCAGCCCGCTGTTTGTAGGAGTGGGGCTGTCGGATCGGCCCCTCTGCAGGACCAATGAGGCCTCTCACCAGCAGGGCAGCGGGTTCAGCACCTTTCTCAATGACTGCAAATACTGGGAGGTTCAGGCTGTTCCACTCATCCCACGGCATCTGAAAGAGCATTGACAGCAAAGCTGCGTCAGAGCAGGGCACAGCTGCCAAAGCAGCCGTTCAGCCTCCTCCGATTGCCTGTTGGAAAGGATTTCCCCCTTTTTTTCCTTCAAGCTTTTCTTGATAAGCATATGGCAAGTGGAAATATCAGAGAGAATGAACTGCCTCCTAGTTGGGAATGAGAGACTTACAATTATCCCTGTGATAATGAGATAGTCTGAACATGAGGGAACTCGATACAATGGGAGATTTATCTTGGAAGCAATCCCTTGGCAGCCTGGCCTGTCTTGCTGTCAGCACGGTTTCCCATTGCACAAAGGGCAGGGATCAGACTCAAGATGACAAATCCATCTCTGTCTCAAGCTCATCCTGCTCCATTACCAATGGCTTTTCCAGGGGTAATTCCTTAGGTCATCCAGATGCTCTGCTTCACTTAAATCACGTTGTCCCATGGGAATCTGTACCCACCTTGGATCTCCAAAAGACCTGGAAAATTGTTTTCTTTCCTACCACAAACCGGGTCAACACTTCAACTCGTGGCCTTCAAGGCTGCCATGATTGAGGAGAGAGGCAAGACAGGAGTCTGAAGCCTTGGTCCAACACTCACAGAGACTCTTGTCACAATTACGTGGACTCTGCAAACAGATAAGGAAAACCAGAAAGAGCAAACGTGGGTCTGCACAACCTTGACATGGCAATCAATGCTGTAGTTTACCTCCAGGAGCAAGTAAATAGCCCCAGAGTTACATGCTGCATAGCAAACATTGCAGTTTTATCTGCATGACAGGCAACAATTTGTGGCAAAGGTTAAAATCTCTCTGTTCACTCAAGCTTGACAGATGATGGTCATGTTCCATTCCCTGTTCTCAGCGGGTTTGTGCATGAATGTGAGGTTAAGTGCATGTGTGCCTTTAGGATCACGACCTTCATTCAATACTGCATGGCCCAGCAGGCTCATAATTAATCCCCAGCATGTTGGAATGACAGCGCTCACTCGTAATGTCATCCATGCAGAGCTGTGAGCTACGTGTAAATTCCTACATTCCGGCTGGGAGTCAGGGATTTTCCAGCCAGCAGAGCAGGGAGGCTCCAAGGCAGGTTTTTGACAGGACAATTGGTAGATTGGACTAATTTACAGGTAAATTGGGTAGGGCAGGAGAGGGAGGTGTGATACAGTGACTGCTTGCTCAGCTGCCAAGGATGGGCTGGGAATGACAACACCTCAGTGCTGTCAGTGTTATGTGACCAACATTTTCTACTGACAAAAATGTAAGAGTTCCTTATGAAGCCTGTAAGAAAGCCCCCACCATCTTCATCCTGGGCAGTTTGCAAACATAAAGCATGACCAGATTCAGCTCAGCCACTTGTTCTTCTTTCTCCTCCCAATCTCTGGTTTTCAAATGTACCCAAAGGTCTGAAACTCAACAATAAACCATAACCACAGCCTGGCAATCAGATCCACGTGCCCCAGGCAAGTCCTCACACCCAGGTCATGTCCTGTCTGCCTCACTTATAGACCTGCTGCTAATACCAGTGGTTTGTTTCCAAATTCTAGATATTTAATCTTTTTATCTACTTGTTCTGTTACCAAAGACGAACCTGCTCAGTCAGGTTGGATCAAGTGTTTTATCCCACAGGTGACACAACAGGCTGGGTATGTTTTACACAAGTTTATTGGGGGTTAATATTAATTCACCAACAGCACAAACTATCAGATCTCTGCTATTTAAGGGCTGCAAACATGACAAACACAGAGACAAGCATTGCTCAGAAATAGTTATGCTGTACATCAAATCAAATCTGAGTAACAGCAGCACGACCACTGATTTGTCCTGCTTGAGGAAAGAAAAGATGAGCATCTTACTCACTGTTCCATTCCCTATACATACAGCATTTAACTTTCTTCCTAAAGGCTCCATAAACAAGAGTCAAAAGACACAAGGAGTAAAATGCTGCTACTTTGACCCACCTTGCTGCAGCTCCAGAGAGTTCTTCCATTCCCATTGCATGTTAAATCATAGTATATTTGAGATACCTCCAAAACACGAAATCACACTTCGTTAGCAAGTGCAGCCCTTCACAGTCCCCAGTCCCATGATCTGAGTTCTGAAGTGAGGGAAATTGCAGAGAAAAGAATGGCCCCTTCCACACCAGCACCTGCTCAGACCCTCGGGATCTCTACTTCCGAAGCAGACCTGGACTTTCGCCGGCTGGTCAGGCTGCCCAGGACCGACTCCTCGCTGAAGGCCCCTTCGAAGGTTGACAGGATGGACTGGCGAAACTTCTCCTTGAAATCTGGCCCCACAAAGACGTACAGGATGGGGTTGATGCAGCTGTTGAAGAAAGCAAGGCTGGAAACCAAGGGGATCCCTATGTAAAGGGCCAGTTTCATCTCATGGCTGGAAGAGTTTTTGGATATTTCCAGCAAGGAGAAAACATGATAGGGGAAATAACAGAGGAAAAACGAGACTGTGACTGCAATGATGATTCTGTAGGGCTTTGCAGAGTTGGCCAACTGCCTTCTTTTCAGCTTGACAGCCACAACGCTGTAGCAGATGAGAATCACCACAAAGGGGATGAGGAACCCACACAAGAATCGCGTGATGATCATCGCTTTGTGCCGCACCCTCCACAGCCTGCGCGTTGCCTCGGACGTGTAATCATCGGACAGCGCAAAATTATTGTAACAGCTGGTGACATTCCTGGAACTGACCACGGTGTCCCGAAAGACGAGGTACGGGGAGCTGAGCAGGACAGCCAGGACCCACGTCCCCAGCGCGATCCTGGCTGCCAGCTCCGGGCTCCTGCGGTTGTGAGACCAGACGGGAAAGGCCACAGAAACGCAGCGGTCAACGCTGATGACCGTCAGGAGGAAGACGCTGGCAAACATGTTGAGGAAGGCGATGGTGCTGTTCAGCTTGCACAGAAGCTTCCCAAATGGCCAGTGGAAGCCCAGGGCGGTGTAGGCGATACTGAGGGGCAGGAAAAAGGTGAAGATGAAGTCAGCTATGGCCAGGTTGAGGAACCAGACGGAATTCACCGTCTTCTTCATCTTGAAACCTGCAATCCAAATGACGAGGCCATTCCCTGTCACCCCCAGCAAACAGGAGATGCTGTACACCACCATGGAGAGGATGTGCATGGTCTTCTGGAGGCCAGAGTAGTAGTCGTGGTCAGTGGCGTTCTCAGGCTGCTCCGTGGGACAGCTGGCAGAGAAGGGTGACGGGGAAGAAGTGCTGTCCATCGTTAGCAAGCCAAGACCTGAAATCACAACAGAGCTGTTTTCTGCAGCTCAAGAGAGGTGAAAATATTTGTGAGCAACTGTGCACAAAATGTGTATGAAAAGCCAGATTACATAAATGAATTTATAATTAATATAAAGTCCTCTATAGCATGAGCAGCTGCACCTCACAGAAACCACCTCAACCAGAGAAACCAAACCCAGTTTTGCTGTTGGTGTCAGTGTCAGAACAACACCTTTATCAACAGTGCAGATATCCAGCACTGTTGATAAACAGTGCAGCAAATCCAGCATGGGCCAGCAGCAAAACTCTGGAAACCCAGATCCCCGCACAGTGATGGGTCCTCTTTGGATGACAATAACAAATTATGACAGCAAAAACTATCTAGGCTGGTAAGAATGAATAGACATTTTACCACTACGCTCTGCTGAGCCCACCCTCCTCTTCATCTCTCTCCTGTTCATCCTGGCACTTGCCTTGGCAGATCCCGGCAGGTTTCACGGTGCTGTTCCTTGGCAGCCGGTGGTCTCACCCTCCTGACTGTCTCCCCTTCTGCTGCTCCTCTCCAAGGTGACTCACACTGCCTCGCCCCATTTTCCCATGGCTTGGGATCACGAGGAATTTAGTAGGGTCACTTATGCCCTAATCTTCTTCCTCAATTTGTGGTGTGTTGATTTAACCCCTGAAGACCCAGAGGGTGCAGGTTCCCTGGGGCTGGTTGGCCAAGCCCACCCATTAACTCAGATTTGAAGAATGAAGAAAACACAACCCCTCTCCTGCCTGTGCCATTCATTCCCCTGGCAGCTCTCCCTCCTGAGCACCCAGAAATCCTTCTGGGCACCGGGGTGCCCTGCTGCGACGGGGGACAGGGCCAGCTCTGCTCCCCACAACAGCAGCAACGTGCCCAACCTGTGCCAGGGCCTGGCACCACCAGCTGTCCTGAAGACGCTGTCCTGGAGACAGGCTGGGGGGGTTTTGGGGGTGCCTGGAAATGCTCCCTGCCCGGTGCAGAGTGTTGGGGTGCCCCATCCTTGGGCTCATGGGGGAAGTTGCAAGACAGTGGGAACACCGCAGGGTTGGGGCAGAAACACCTGGGGGTGCACGGCAGGCAGGGCTGGAGTTGTGGGTGACAGCAGAGGGGTGACGGCAGAGGGGTGACGGCAGAGGGGTGACGGCAGAGGGGTGACAGCCGCGGGCCCCCCGCCCCTCTCTCTCGGCCCGGCCAAGGTCACCCGCGC